AATAGTCTGCCAGTTCGGCTTGCTGCATGTCATTACCAGCAACAATGGGAGACAGTTTTCTGAAAATCCATTTAATAAGTGGTGCAAGGATAAGGGTATCAAGAAAAACTTCACCTCAGTGGCTCATCCTCAAGCGAACGTATAGGTGGAAGTGACGAACAAGACCATCATGAAAGGAATGAAAAAAAGATTAGGAAAGATGCAGGGGGATTGGGCGGACTAACAATAACATGTCTTGTGGTCGTATCTAACAACGATTCAGACTCCCACCAAAGAAACACCGGTCAACTTGGTGTATGGGACCAAAGCATTGATCCCGATAGAAGTGAGCATCCGGAACACCCAGACCTGAAATCCTTGCGTAGACTCAAACAGTGCGGATCTATGGGTCAACATGGACCAGTTGGAGGAAAAGAGAATCAAATATGATATACGGCAAGCTGTATACAAGGCGATGATAGAACGATACGATAAAAAGAGAGTCTGGGGTTGAGCCTGTGTCGTAGTGGATCTGGTGTTAAGGACGAATGAGGCAAGCATGCAGGAGAACGAGGAAAAGTTGGACCCAATTAGGAGGGCCCATACAGAGTGATAGAAGATCGGAGGAATGGTTCTTATGTCGTGGAGACTATCCAGGGAATATGGTTACCAAGGACTTGGAATATGCACAACTTAATACGTTTCCACTTTTAGGTGATGACAAAAGTGAAGAAAGCGCTAGGCATAGGGGAGCTCGGCTAGACTACGTCATTGCAAAATGTATTCTCTTTTTGGGAAATTTTTGGAATCCAGAAGAACAACTGAAAGTGACGATTGTGATGTAATAGTATGCTTCGATGATCAATAAGACTTTTATTTAGAAATCTTTTATATTATTTAATCACACTGTCGTACATAAGTCGAGTAAACAAAAAGGTCGTCTCACAACTTAAGCCACCTTGGTCTAAGCACCATGGTTCGGTTATGTAAGAGATCACCATGGTCCGACCACCATGGTTTGATCACATAAGCCACCTTGGTCTAGGCATCATGGTTCCGCTATGTAAGAGATCACCATGGTCCGCCCACCATGGTTCGATCACATAAGCCGCCTTGGTATAAGCATCATGGTTTGGCTATATAAGAGATGACCATGGTCCGAGCACCATGGTTCGATCACATAAGCTACCTTGTTCTAAGCACCATGGTTTGGCCATGTAAGAGATCACCATGGTCCGGACACCATGGGTCGATCACATAAGCCACCTTGATCTAAGCACCATGGTTCGACTATTTAAGAGATCACCATGGTCCGACAACTATGGTTAGATCACATAAGTCACCTTAATCTAAGCATCATGGTTCGACTATGTAAGAGATCACCATGGTCCGACCACCATGGTTCGATCACATAAGCCGCCTTGGTCTAAGCACCATGGTTCGGCTATGTAAGAGATCACCATGGTCAGGCCACCATGGTTCGATCATATAAGCCACCTTGGTCTAACCACCATGGTTAGGCTATGTAAGATATCACCATGGTCCGACCACCATGGTTTGATCACAACCACCCTGGTCTAAGAATCATGGTTCATCTATGTAAGATATCACCATGGTCCGGCCACCATGGTTCGATCATATAAGCCACCTTGGTCTAAGTACCATGGTTTGACTATGTAAGAGATCACCATGGTCCGACCACCATGGTTCGATCACATAAGCCACCTTGGTCTAAGCACCATGGTTTGGATATGTAATAGATCACCATGGTTCGATCACATAAGCCACCTTGGTCTAAGCACCATGGTTCAACTGTGTAAGAGATCACCATGGTTGGGTCATATAAGTCGCCTTGATCTAAGCACCATTGTTCAGGTATGTAAGAGATCACTATGGTCCTTCCACCATGGTTCGGTCACATAAGCCGCCTTGTTCTATGCACCTTGATTCGGCTATGTAAGAGATCGCCATGGTCCGACCACCATGGTTCGATTTCTGAGGACCCGGATTTGATTAAATCATGATTTGGTTACTAAGAATGGATTTTATGAAAAACAGGTAGGAAGAATACAAGGGAAAATTCAATTAGTTGCTATGGCCCATCCATCATAAATTAAGATAAATTGGTACATATAATAGAGGGATAGCTGAAACTTATGTCACAATAAAAAGTATGTAATTAACAGATCTAATACAGAAGAAATATTTCAAGAAAGAAGAAAGTTACATCATGGGAAAAAAATATTACGGTTACAAAAAAGAGAAAAAAGCTAATAGTCGGATTCGATGTTTGAAGAATCCATCTCATCTAGTTATTTCTTCAAAACCTCACATCCACACCATCTCCTTCGAGCATCTTCAACAAGGTGAAATCAAAGTTGGTGAGTTTGGTGAACCGTTGGAGAACTAATTCATTAGCGTTTGGAAAAGAAAAAGGGAAGCTCAACACCATCCATCACGTTTGGATACCGGGGTGGTATCTTGGAAGATGCCTGATGATGGAAAAGTTGTATTGTGGCCTCTTGAAGGGAAGCATTAGCATGGCCAAATTCCTCTGAATTAAGTAGAGCCCGGACGAACAAGGGTATCCCTTGCTTCCACGTCCACTGCAAATCAATGGAATGCTGCTTAGAAATTTGTTAATGAAATAAGACATCTTGTTTAGCTGATGCATTCTAGATCTCTAACTCGTTGATCCGAGCATCTTTTTTCCTTAAAGAAGATTGTAGAGAGTTCACCTCGTCTTCTAATTTTTTAACATGAACATCTTTTTCCGAACAAGCAATGTCCAGATCAGATACTTTCTTTGAAAAAAAGAGTCTTGAGACCGACAAGTTGCTGAGTCACCTCCTCTAAAGCCTTGGCCGACAAAGCATCACGGGTGCTTGTTTCGTCTAGTTTCTATAACACCCCGACTCCCACGTATAAAACTTAAAGCTTTATATTCATATTTGTAGACCTACTCGACGAGTTGGCTGCCCCAACTCGTCGTGTAGAAACTGATCAGGCCGCGTGAACTGCAGGAACTACTCCACGAGTTGGAAGACCCAACTTGGCGAGTTGAGACTGTGCTTGAAAACCCAATTTTTAGGGTTTGCAACCTATTTAAAGGACCTAAAGTCATCCCTCCAGCCTCCCTTACCACCTTCACGTCCAGAAACAAATCCTAATCGAGCTAACCTCCTATTTTGAGTGTGTGTGTGAGGCTAAAGAATGTGTGTTTGGTGCATTTCTTGAAGAGGCTTGAAGATTGAGAAGCTTGGAACAAGAAGGAGCTTGTAGATCCAGCATCTACTTCGTTTTGGCATTCATATGAAGGTAAAAAGTCATTACCTTGATCATTATCTTGTTAGATCTCTCCATTCAAGAGTTTAGGGTCATTTATAGCTTATTCTTGAGGCGTTTCTGGTATTGACCACGTTTTGAAGTGAGGAGTTCAGATCTTGACTCCGCTAGGCCCTCATGGACATAAAGTTCTCGACTTTATCAAGCTTTGGCCCTTCTCCATGCCCTAAACCTCTTCCTAAGACTAGTATTGGGTGTTTTAGCCTCTTGAGGCCTTGCATGCACGTAAAGTTAGCAACTTTACGTGGAAACTACACCCTAGGAGTCTAGATCTATAGTTTGGAGCCTTGGTTTCACTTAAAAGCGTCTGAATGAGAAAAGGCATGAAGGAATTCGACGAGTTGCATAGCCAACTCAACAAGTTGGTTAGGGTTTTCCCGATCTTATGGACACTGCATGGACTCGACGAGTTGTTTGGTAACTCGGCGAGTTGACTCGGGTTTTCATAGTTTTCTGAGTTCTGAGGGAACTCGACGAGTCTGTAAGCTGCACTCGATGAGTTGGGTCAACATGGACTGTTGACCTTGACCGTTGACTTTGAATTTGACCAAGGGTTGACCAAGTTTGACTTCTGAGGGTATTTTGGTAATTTGGGAATTCATGGAATGGGATCGATGGTGGTTGTAGGTGTTTGTGTTGGGAGCCGTGTTTCGGGAGTTTGATCTTTTTAGTTCAGTTCGACCTTTTAAGGTGAGTCATTCTCACTATATCAACAGGGTCGAAGGCACCAATACCGACCCTTCTTTTGGATTGTTATCATGGTTATCACAAGATGATATGCTTAGTGACCTGTTAGGTCGGTATCCTGGTATATAGGATGATGCTATGTTTAGTGACCTGTTAGGTCGGTATCCTGGTATATAGGATGATGCTATGATTAGTGAACTGTTAGATCGGTTTGACTGTTTATACATGCTAGCATTTGTTATCTATTTGTCGATTGTATGCTTGGGGGTGGGTTGAGGCAGACTTGCTTTGTGGTGTAGGCCAGCATACCCAGGGTGGCCCGGATAGACCGCAGGACTAATGGGGCATACCAGACAGGCTGAAGACCCGGTAGGGCGGACCAGACATGCTGAAGGTTCTGAGAGCGGGCTAGACAAACTGAAGGCCCGGTGAGGGCGGTCCAGTCATACTGTAGACTCTATATGCATGTTGTTTCTTATGATATGGTTATAGTTTGTATGGCGTTGGTATTTTGGGGGAACTCACTAAGCTTCGGGCTTACAGTTTTGGATTTTGTTTCAGGTATTTCGGATGATCGTGGGAAGGCGTAGGCTTGATCGTGCACCTCCTCGCATTTTATGATTTTGATATTTGGGATACTCTGATATGAAACTATTTTGAAAACATTTTTTAATAAATAATGGTTTTTGGATGCTTGGAAAAGTTTTAAATTTTTGTGAATTGTATGGATGTTACAGTTTCAGCCACAGATCTTGGTTAAGAAGAGAAACCTCCTCCTGAGTTTGCATAGATATGGCCAAGTATATTGACATTTGTTTGGTGGAAGAAGTTAATTCAATGTTCTCCTGCATCGGTTTTGTAGTCTCTCTCTTTAGAACCTGATAACTAGATCGAAGCTTGTCCATGTAATCGGACAATTTGTCAAACTCCATGTCTCTGGCAGCCGTAGCCGCCGCAAAAGCTTTGTTGTGACAAGAGACTTCATTCATCTAATGGAGGCCCTCAAGGATGTAAGTCCGATACTTGTCTATCTCTTCCTCATCGGTCATCTTGACAACAGATGGCTTATTGACAAAGGAAGTAATAGTGAATGGATGCAAGAAGGACGGTATGGAGGAAGCTAAAGACATCAGGGAAGAAATGTGAGTTTGATTCTTTGGCAGATGAAAATCTGGAATTTTGACAAACAACATAATGAGTAAGAAATAAGAAATAAAAAATAGTCATGCAGAGAGAAGAGGAAAGACAAGTTACCAAATTTTGGAGTCGAAGAACTGCCAGGCGAGACTTCGGACACCAGGGAACCTTCGTCTATCGTACCAGATGCTCCTCCTTTGGAAGATGTTATCAACTCATTTACATTGATAAGATCAATGTCAGGAATGGTCGAAGCAATGGAAGAAGGTTTCATATCGATAATAGGGGTTGTAATAGTGGAAGTAGTGGTTGCAACATTGGAACCGAACAATTTTTTTTAAAAGCTCGTTGGCCATCACCCTTCCGTTGCAAAGACATTACCGACCAAACCTTAATGTCGGAAGTCTTAGGGATCGGCACAAGATTAATCACCACAACATTCGTGGTCGGAGCACTGTGGTGTAAGGTTCGGTGAAAGGCCAGATAAAGCCTCAATAGTTGTTACCAGATCAGGGTCATTTTGGACTGGGTAATCGTGAAGTATGGAAGGATCGATGTCTAGAGGAAGTTGAAGTATGGAAATGGAAGGATTGTTCGAGGAAGGCTCTTCAACCACCTTATTTAAATCAGAAAGGTTCGCAGGCTTGGCATGACAAGCAAAACAAAGTCGCTTTGGCGAAACCAAGTCTTTACGGTTCCTCAGTGGATCAAGTGGCATGGCGTGAGGCTCCACATGTTCTGCTTTGGGGATGTTTACTCCATCAGACGAAGAAATATCCCTATTATGCTTCAATGAAGTGCTCGTCTTTCTTGCAGGCTTGGAGAATGAAAAACCTGGCAGTTTACCTTTAAATCAATCGTCTTTCTTTTTTCTTTTGTTGGGGGGAGACGACGAGATCACAACGAGATCACCAGGCTCGGGTTGTGTGAGGGAGTCGATGCTAGATTTAGACTCCAATACAGCCTCACATTTGTCAGGAGTTCTGGATCTCATGGTGGGCCGCTTAGCAACTTTAGAAGAAGGGGTATTATGATTTTGGAGAAGGCGTTCAAGAAGCGTGCTTGATTGGGCACGAAGAGTCGGAGCAGGAGGTTTGTCGACTACATAGAGGACTCCTTCTAGTCTGGCAAGTTCCAGTATTGAGTTGTTAGGATCATACCATTTGACATAACTAGAAACCAATCGGTCGACAGTGGAAAGTTCGTCTACATTAAGTTCAGGGTTGGGGTCATGGTCATGGTTTAAGAGGCTGTCGAATTGCATAGAAAATATGAAAGAAGACGCATCCACAAAGGTGAACTCGATTTTCCATTTCTTGATAGATGTGGGAAACTCGTCACATATTTAAATAGTCCCGGAGTGCAAAGAACAAGATACCCAATAGCCCATTACCCTAGTCACTTAAAAGTGACGAAACACAGATAAAGACGGAACTATGTTTAGGGATCTGTTCAGTAACATGAAACACATGATTTTCTTAAAGCCGTTGGGAGTAATTTAAGCAATGTGGAGTTTATAATTATAGATGCACACAAAAACCGATTTCACTATTCAAAACTGGATCCAATCTGAAACCGAATTGGGTGAAAACTGATTTTGATCAAACCGGATCGGATCGGATTTAAAACCGGATTGTCAATGGGATCGTAATCCTACATTCCAAATCAAATTTGATACCGGATCATAAACCAGATTTCTAAAACCGGATCTAAATCCGCCCCAAAATCCGCGAAAACCCATTAAAATCGGTTTAAGCCGGTTTCAAATCGGATTAGAATCGCATTCGGATTTTGGTTGGAACCAGATCAGATTTTGACCGCATCCGGATCAGATTTTGACCAATCGGATTTTTGATGACATAAGCGAAACCAGATCGGATTTGGATCGGATCAGATTCGGGTTTTGTGCAGCTCTATTTATAATACCCGAGAATGGAATTCAAGAACTCAAAGGCAGGTAGGCGGAGCCCAGACCTAAAGAACATTGTGTAAACACCGACGTAGCCTTCTGGAGAGACGTTAATTGGATGATCCTTGGAAGGAAGAATAGGCTTGAATTGGGGATCAACATATACGGACTTGATAATTTCATCCAATAATCCTTGCGTCAAAATAGAGAAAGCTGTGTGGACGGGATGGTTATCTTTTGCCATGAGAAGGAGATGATGGAAGAAATCAAAGAATTTTGCAGAATTTGAAGCATAGAAAGGAGTGGGTAGTTAAAATCATATAAGCAGTTGTAGAAACATGATTCAATCATGCCCGATAAATAAGGGGTGGCTAGTAATTTCGAGGTAATGATAATAGGATAGGTAATGATGACTCGTAGGGAGGCGGAACGATCGAATCTGGTACCTGATTTGACAGACAAGTCTATCTATTAGAAGCCGATGTAGATAAGTGATAAGTAAATTTGAATTATTAAAAATAATCTGAACTTAGGGAACTTAATGAGATATATCACCTCCGGACAGAAGAGGCTCGGTCGAGCCAAACCCGGACCACTGATACACAGTATGAACGAGTGTATCAGGGAACGCTGAACCCTGCAAGACGAAGCTAAACCACTTGAATTGCGAGAAACTTTATGAACTAACATTCACAAGTGTCAAGTCAAAGAGTCCTATGGAATTACACACAAACAACCTGCCATGGACCAACGGTTCGATACAACTTAGATAACGAGAATGACAAGACTGTCGACAGTACAATGGTACTGCTTTTGTACCTTCGGCACTGGGCACATTAATGACGATGATACATGGACCTGTTCGGCTAGCCCTCATGTCCGTTTTCCCATGAAAAGGTAGTATAACAACATACTAGCTCGACCACGAACAAGTATGCTCTCAATAACTACATATCACTCATAATTCGATAACGATCACCCATATCTTGCATATGACTTAAGCTTCAGAGCCTTCTCCTGGGTTCGGTACCCAGAGAGTGTCTGATGTTGTTCTATTTTCTCAGGTTCAGCGGGGCTCTAGACGAATGAGCGTTACACAATTAGTCAATATAACCCCCTACCAGATTCATCAACTAGTGTTGCAGGTTTTGTTCAACATTAACAAGTATTACTCGGTATCTCTCCACTGTTTCTCCATCACTCTCATGCTGCATGTCTATTGAATGGTGCTATGACGATACATGGATATAAGGAGTAATTTAGTCTAGTTCATAAATGGTTTGTGAGAAGCTACTAGGGTATCACAATGACAAGGGGAGGTGATACTGCCTAATTCTAAAGATACTTTTGTTACTTCATTTATTGATAATCTTCAACATTGTTTCTTGCATCATCATCAAGCTACTTCTTAGAAAGGATTGGTAGATAGTAATATTTAGTGGATACATTTGTGTGATTCGGGAGAATCACGTTCAAGAGAAGTTAGCTCACCAAGAGTATCTCTAAGCATCTCAAAAAGAGACCATGAGGTCAAACAAAATGGAAAGCTTTTATTTTGAAAAGAGAGATGGAACAAAGCGTCTTCCACTTGAGTTCATTACACTTAAATCATGACTGAAGGTAGCTTGCATTTCCTTGGATAACGAGGCAAGAACATTAGAGCAAGAAGCACATACAACACTGGATAAGTTGACTGGAAAGACTTGTACTTTCAATTTGGAACACCAAATTATAAATCAATTGGTTTCTATTACATGACGTGTTCAAATGGTTTGAAATGAATATTCATATCGAGCTCTTCAATGAAGTCACCGATATCAAAAAGAAAGTTGAAATACCATTGTCGAGCAAGGTTATACAAAATGTCCATCTTTCTGGTGGAAGCTTATTAGGAGTTTTTCGTGGAGGACCAAATGTCAGTAAAATTACAGATAACGCGTAGAAAAGAGGAATCAACATGATTTTTGTAGTCTCTTATGGATAGTTCAAAAACTCTAAGGCTTCAGTAGGACTGAATAAAGGCTGATGAAAAAACGGCTGGTGATGTAGATTCTTATGGAGTGTAATTCAGGATAGTGATCACCTATGTGCATCTCTCTCTATTTTTCTTTACTGAGAATCAATAATGTCAGGCAAGGAGGAGTATTAACTAATGCATAAATTGGTGGGCTTGTTTTTCATTATACAAATATGTGTGTGGAATTGTATAGGTACAGGTCTGCAAGAAAGTATGTTACTATGGTCTTCTGCTCTAGTTGTGTCCAGGTCACCAAACAACTGTTTCGGGTGTGTGACTGTTTTTTTACATGGTGTCTCGAAATATTGCAAGTCTTGTCAAATCACTCAAGTTCATAAATTATGAAAAATTCAAATAAAAAGTTTGTAACACCATAAATTTTTGCACAAATTTTTCATTTTTAAATTCACATAAATGACATCAACACATTTCACAAAATCTCAATATATCAATTATCAAAAATACGTGTTCATAATTATTTGAATAAAATCCAGGATCCTCGAAACACAACTCCATCTCGTGTGTATAATCAAGCCGGCACCTTCCCGTGATCTTGAGAAGTACCTGAAACATATAACACATAACACGGTAAGCACGAAGCTTAGTGAGTTCCCCAAAATACCACACACATCCCATTAGCCCCTCATGGCTATACTCACAATAAGACCCTCCGGTCAATGTGTCTCAGTGGGGCCCTCTGGTCCTGTTGGAACCTGAAAGTGAACCTCTAGCAATCCTAAGTACATATTCCGAAGTGTGTTGATTCTTAAAGGAAAAGTAATCCGGAACCTGTCCGGAGCTGGAGAAAAGAAGACGATAAGTATTTTGAAGAGGAATACATTCCGGAGCTAATCTTTATGTCCGGAATGTATGCTGATCCGGATCAAACTTTCATCTCCGGAATAATACTTTTCCGGAATGAAGTCTTTCTGTCTTTTGTGCATTTATTACTTTTGTCTTGTATTTGATGTAACGTTTCATAGGACTTAGTCTAAAGTTACTTTAGGACAATCAGAATGTCAGACTTATGTCTTTTGTCCAGTCTTATGTAAACACTTGGGTTAATTCGCTGTAACATTCACTCCTTTAAATAGGAGCTTTCAATACAAGTCAACTACGGATCTTTCACTTACTTTTGGCATTTACTCTTATCTTATTAAAACATTCTTCTTGTTCTTCATTTATTAACTTTACCTTGATCATTGACTACTTGTTCTCAATTAATGTCTTGATCATTTGTTGAGCTGATTATCTAAGACTTGACTGGTCTTTCCAGTCTAGACTTAAACATCCATTATCAAGCAAACATTGATCTCAAGCATTCACTCAAGGATTGAGTTTTCAAACCTTGTCCCTGCGCATCGATCTTGTTCTCACAATTGGTATCAGAGCTTGAGTGGTTGTCCTTTGAATCCATAAGATCATATTATAGTTGGTTTGAATTTACCTTGGTATTTCAACCATTTCTGTGTTAAGGATAAAAGTTCTTCTATATACCACTTAAGCTTGAAGATATCTTGACTTCAATGGCTGCTTCAAATCCTCAGCAAATAATTTCAATGCAAATCGCAAATAGCGTGGGTGGCCCTACACGTGCCCCATTGCTAGTTGTGGAAGAATATGATCATTGGAAAGTTAGAATGGAAAGATTTTTACTAGCCAAATAGAAGGGTGAACAAATCTAGAGATCCGTCAAAGAAGGCCCTCATGTTCCCGTAAGAACAGTTGTAAGAGATGCAGCTACTCAGCTCATGCGAGAGGATGAAGCTCGTCCAGCCCCTCTAACTGCAGATGATATTGAAAAGCTGCATGCTGATCAAGTTGCCTTCTCAGAAATGGTGTTTGGTGTTCCTCCTTCACTCTTTGAGCATATCAAGCTATGCAAATCAGCCAAAGAAATTTGGGACACTCTTCAGGATCTGATTGAAGGTTCCGAAAATATGAAGGACAAGCGCCTCACCTCGGTTGTCAATGAATTTGACACCTTCACCACTACTCCAGGTGAATCTGTAGCCTCAGCCTCCAACCGATATCGAATCGTTGTCAATAACATGACTGCTCATGGGATTGTTCGAACTCCTCTCGAGTACAATCTTAAGTTCATCAACAGTCTTGGTAAAGGATGGGGAAATGTAAAATCTTGTCTTCAAAGCAATGGTTCCTTGAAAAAATTAAAACTCTATCAACTTTTTGATGAGCTTCAAGGACATGAAGCAAACGTTGCTCAAACCATAAGGGAACTTTCCGGAGGTCCACTTGCTCTCGTCAGTTCTTTTGAATCAACCATTCTGAACTCACCTGCTCCGGAACCTTACAAACCCACTGTTCCGTTAACTCAGTCATCCTTAACCACCTTACCCACAGACATCTATCCTGACGATGATTCCGAAACCTTGGATTCCGAACTCCGTTTCCAACAAGTGTTCGCCTTACTCTCAATGAAATACAAACGTCCTTTCAATCCCTCTTACAAACCATACCAAAACAGATTCAGTGTCCTCACCAAACCCATCCTCAACCATATTCCTCTCCATAACCAAAACAAACCTCTGAAAATACTCCTGCATACAAACCTAACCTCACTAAACCAAACTCCGCTCCGGAATCTTCTCAAAATTCCAAATCAGACAAACCAAAGATCTTGTGTCATAAATGTGGTCATGCAAACCACTTTGCCAAAGATTATCTAGCTGATGCTCCACAAAAACCAAAGGCCAAAGACTCAGCTTACTATGTCCGAAGAGCACAAGAAATGGCTTAAAGTGAGAAGGCATTTGTTACTACGGTTTCAAGAAATGTCGAAGGATATTGGTCATCCGGAGATGATGATGATTTGGTGACTGGAAGAAACATGTGTTTGATGGCAAGACAAACGGTTGAATGTGATGAAGGTTATTGGTCTTCTGGGTCCGAAGATGAAGATGATGTTGCTGAACCTCACTACTGTTACATGGCCACTAACGATCCGCCAGGTCAAATCATTGTTCAGCAGGTAAAATCCATGATCTCTGATAATAATTTTGATTTGACTTTATGTGAACCTTATCTGACCCAGATCCAAACTGATATGAACACCATCTATCAAGCCTATGAGTCGGGCATAGAAGCCAGTGAGAAGAAGGACTGTGAACTAAGTCGTCTTAGATTACGTTTTGAGGATAAGAAATTAAAAATCGAGTCTTTAGAGCATGAACTTGTAATGTCAAAAGATGAATGTTGGGCTTATA